CTGCCAAGGAGGACTGCCATGCACTTTGCACTTTCTAGGTTCTTGGGATATCTTGGGCCTTGGGATCAGTTTGGATGATGGAAGGTGTTTATTTGTGCGATCAGCTTATTGGGTCTGAATGATGGCGTCAACTTGCAGTCCTTCAGAACAGGTTTGTATGACCAACAAGTTGAATAGCGCCAGTTCCCAGCGCCAGTTCTCGTCGCACTTTGGGCGAGCAGTTCTCAGCTGTTCTTGAAATCAGACAGCCGACCCCATGAATTTGAGACGATTTGAGTTTCTTGTTGAGACCCGTGACGAGAGTAATTAAAACAGGTGCCACGCTAGTAGTAACAGGTGCCTTACTAGTAGTAACAAGTGCCACGCTAGTAGTAACAAGAAGCTATCAATTTAACTTAGTTTTAACTTTAATTCTACTAGCTTCTTGTTACTACTAGTAAGGCACTTGTTACTAGAAGCGATGCACTTGTTCCTAGTAGCGTGGCACTTGTTACTAGTAGCGTCCTAGGAGACGATTTGAGTTTCTTGTTGAGACCCGTGACGTGTGGATGGACGACTGTCGTTCTGAGGAGTGTTAACTGCCACTGAGCTTGGCTTGTGCTTGTGGGGTGAATCCGCCATCGATCTGAAGAGTTGGAAGGCAACACACGGCTGCTTTATTTGGGCTTGACTGTCTATGCAGCCCTTTTCAGTGAGATGTAGCGCTGGGAGTATTTGACCAAGCGAGCCAAGCATGTGTGATATCTCATACAACTCTCGTCGTGAAGTAAAGCAGGGTGCACCGTGCAATGTGTCAAGATGATTCAGTCAATCATGAGAAGTTTTTTGGCGTGCAGACATGAATTAGCAAATCATACATGCAAGAAAACAGGCGCCGTGGCACGTGACAGGAAAAGAGCAAAGCAACACCTGAGATGGCACCAGGGATGATTGAGGAATTCTGGAAGGCTGTGGAGGCAGGATATGCCAAATTAATAGTCAGTATAATAGCAGCGCGCACATGTTTTTTCCACTGTCCCGGATCCAATACGTACGCATATGATCGAATATGAATATTAATGTATATGTATCATTGGTCCTTCGATTTGATGCACCTGATTACCATCAGTGAACACCTTGTTCCGGTCGTTCAATGTTCGCAAAAAAGAAAAGACAGCGAGATGAAGAACGAAGGCCGGGGCTGCCCTCTTTAAAGGGCCTGTTTGATTTTGTCTCATTTTCATTTGCTCAATCAAGGCCGTGCAACAAGAAAAGACCGGTCTCCCTGGCTCATGCAGCAATTGGTTTCTCCATCGCCCAGTGTTACGACGAGTGGTGCATAAACTCGAGTCGAGGGCTTTTGTTTTGCGCTTGCAGAACGAGCATTTCATGAGGACAGATGGGCATCTCCTTTGGGTCCAATTCTTTCACATTTGCGAAGACTGGGGCACGGTCAACGATTCTGTCATACTCCCCTTTCCGATCAAAAGAACCCCTATATAACTTATACTATAATCTTATATACCAAGTGTCTCCCAGTCATTTCACATGCAGGGTATGACGAACGAGCAGCAACATGCATTGCTGGAGTATACCACAGGCGGCTTCACAGCAGAAGGCCGGCATGATGGGTTTGCAGCACACTGTACGGCTCAATTGAGTGCTTGCTCATGGTTGTAAGCTTGGATTTGTAGCCGTAGCAGCCTTAAAGAAAGTGTAGCAGGCAACCTTTCCTCTCCCACTGTTTTGCTGGTTGCAACCTCAATATGCTTTTTGTGGGAGGGATTGCCAAACTCCGATGGCCTGCCTGGCACGGGGCGCTGAAGACCTCCCTGGGCCCGCTGCGCCCAACCAGGTGCCATTGAGGGCTTGACCTTGGCGCCAACGGAAGGACTGGTGCCAGAGACCGTGCCTGTTTTGCCAAGTCTGGATTGGAGCTGGGATGAGCCAATCGAAAAGCTTGGCTCGTCGGGACTCTACTTAGCATTTAGAACCTAATAGCCATGGCCTCCAACCTATTCATATATTCATATATAGAGATACAATGACATTGTTGATGTTGTTTGAATGTCAGAATCTGTTGGCTCATTGAGCAGGGTTCTCGGCGTGACTCTGACGGTACGCTCAAGACTTTCGCCTATAGACCGTAGGATGGATAGGGTGGATGGGGTTCTCAAGGTATCATGTAACAGAGATGTTTTCACTCCCGACCAACTTGGGCGGCTGAGTCAACGAAACGTAATAATCATCCCTTCTTCATGCGCATCACGTGGCAACTCTCAGCAGTGCAGCTCTTCGTGCAGCGGCACTTTCTTACTCCAAGGTGCCTGGCTACAACACCTTGAAGTTGCCCAAGTACGGCACGCTTGCGGAGATGCGCTCCGCCCTCCTACGGGCCGCCACCTATGGCAACGAGGGTGCCCAAAGTTGGGAGTGAGCAGATCCTATGAGTAGGTTCTGCCCAAGCAAGGTGGATCCAAGCAATTGGTAGACTTTCATATAATTTGCGGGCATGTCCAGCTCAGGCTGCATCCCGCAGACAGGGACTTGTAGCCCCCAGCTTGCATAGTGAAAAAGCCTGTGGAGTGCACCATGGAATTTGCACCTCCTGCGGGTGTGACCACCCCGGACCGCCAGCTTATGGAGGGTTTATGTGGCTCATGTGAGCGTACCGAAAATCACATGAGTTCATCAGTTTTCAAACACTTCGATGAGTGGCCCGGGGCAGGTGACCAATGCTTAATGCCAATGCCCAAATTCAATCAGTGGCAGAAGTGTAGGCTTCTGCTAGAAATCGCCAGTGCTAGCCTATATGTTGTCAAAGGGCAATGCCTTGCAGCCATCTCGAGCAAGCCGCATGCATTGTAAAATGTGCTGCCATGCACATCCGATCCTGAACTTTTTGGCAGCTACTAGTAAGAAGGGCATTACTACTAGGGGCTAGGACGCTACTAGTAGCAAAGGGCATCGCTACTAAGAGCAAGGACACTACTAGTAGCTTCTGGCCTTACTACTAGTAACAGAAGCTACTAACAACAAGGGCATTACTACTAGTAATAGTAGCAAGGTGAATTTGGAAGCTCAATCCCTAGCCCCTGGAGGCGGGCAAGGCTGCCACTTTGCGTGCATAGACCCTTTGTGAGGTGCCTTCATTGAGGCAGCTCAATGACAATGACCTTTAAAGTGCCAAGGTCGACCAATCTGGTGTCTCCATAGATTTACCACGCTGAATCACAATGTAGATGTTGTTTTCCTCCATGTTCTTCTCAACCTCCAGCCCAGTCTACTGATAGACACGTTGGCTTCCTTAAGGAGCGCTGCACAGTAGTAATTTGTGGTTGGTGATGTGGTCTGTGTGGCTGGTTGATTTGTGTTATTCAAGCTTTCAATGGTAAGTTAAGGCCAGCAGCGGTTGAAGCTCAAACCGCTACACTCCGACTCACTAACATGGAAGTGGAAAACCCACTGTTTGTAGAGGAAAGTAGTCTTCCAAGAGGCAATTTTCCACTTCCATGTTAGTGAGCCAGAGTGTAAAGTGCTTAACATCCTCGCATCTCGGATGCTGTTGGTACTTGAGTTTCTGAACTGTTGACATGCCCAGCTCCTCATAATTTTATCAATCCTGTGGCTGAGGTCAGTAGGCGTGGCACGCCCTCGGGTGTGCTACGGTATGCATGCTACATATCTCTTATATGTAGAAAATGTCCCACACCACGGCGAGGCCAGGCAGGCATGCATCAGGTGCAGAGAGATCAATACGAGTTGTGAAGACACAGTTCAAGACTACTCGAACAGTTCTTTTCCAAAGAGGACCATAGCTTTCGTCGGAATCTCTCAGATACGCCGTCATGAACAGTTGTGTTCACAATAGCTACCAAAGCCGAGAGATCGAAGGTTCACATTTGAGTCCTTATCAAAAGATGCGATTGATGGGATGTTCTTCACGCGGCACAGACATACTGACATACGTTGCTTGGAGAGACCATCGACCTCGGCCGCCTCGGCCCAATGATTCACGTCTTTGTGCTTCGGAGCCTGAGACGTTAGAGACGGAGAAAGCTCGAGAGAACGGGCGGATGAAAAGGGCCGCTGGCAGAAGGCTCAGGAGGATTCCGGAAAAGGCTCCAAGGCTGAGAGGGAAGCTTTAGAAGCATGAAGAGTTGGCTGATTGTTGCCTGAGGCTTAACTTGTGGTCCTTTCAACAACTCTCATATGACAAGTTAAGTAGGTGTTGAGGTGTTCACGAAAGGTAGCCCTTTAGGGGATACCTTGAGTTTGTCTTGCGAAGCAAGTGTTGGGACGTCCGGGTCTAATAATTGATCGCTCAATTCAGACCCCCTCCCCCCCCTCTAAAATCAATTCTCTCCTGGAGAACGTCTTCGTGAGCCTCTCATGATTTCAGGATAGTTGAAACCCTCTTGAACATTCAGAAAGAGTGAATATGAAATTCTAATCACGAAAGGTGTTCCCCGAGGGGATACATACCTAGAGTTTGTTTTGTGAAGCACGTCAATTCTCTCCTGGGGAGCGTCTTCGTGAGCCTCTTATGGTTTCAGGATAGTTCAAATCCTATGATGTTCCGATTCAATGCTCACCGATGATCTGAGCCATGGGGCAAGTTTGTTTTCCTAAGATTTTTTTTGAACATTTCGAGAGCATATGTTTGAACATTTAGAGTGCATATGAACATATATTTACGAAAGGTCGCCTCCGAGGGGATAAATCACCATGTCGAACATTGCATTTTTGTTCCTGCCTCTCGCGTTCTCTTCTCTTCCCGCTGTCCTACCTTTCGTGTCTCCCTCCTCTCAAGTGAGTAGGTGCAGTTGTGGAAGGGGTCCTTGCTTGAAACCTTTGGCCTGCAAGTGACCTCGTCAAACAAAAGAGAGAAGATTGTTTGGTCGGCCCATTGATTTCTCCAAGTTGGGTCCCAACGTGCGGATACAATGCCTGTTTTGTGGGATGGTTCCATTGGGAGGTCCAGCGGGTTAGTCATGCACAGCAAGCGTTCCCTGGCACAGGCGTGACCTTGAACATGCTCACACCGGGCGTTCCGGTGATGGATCACTTGGCTGCGGTGCTGCGAGAACATTTGAAGAGACTCCAGGCGGTGTGAGAATGCACCGGGATTCCATCCCATCCATTCCATCCTTGCCCTCACCCTAGTAGCGATGGCCTCCACCCTGGTAGTGATGGCTTCCAACGTAGTAGCGGTTGCCTGCACCCTAGTAGCGATGGCCTCCACCCTGGTAGCAATGCCTCCACCCTAGTAACCTAGTAGCGATGGCCTCCACATGCCTCCACCCTAGTATCGATGGCCTTCAACCCGGTAGCGATGGCCTCCACCCTAGTAGCGATGGCGTCCAACCTGGTAGCGATGGCCTCCACCTTAGTAGATCTTAGTAGTGATGGCCTCCAACCTATTAACGTAGCGTTGGCCTCCACAAAGTAGCGATGGTGGAATCCAAAATCGTCTAAATCGATTTAAATGCCCATTGCTGGACGCTGGGATTAACATGACCTCGCCCAGACCTGGCTTACAATAACTATAAAGTATAACTGTTTTGCAGGCGCCACTCCTGGGCCACACTTGCCGCCGACATGTCCATCATGCCTGGGACTATGTCGCTGTGGGTTAGAATTCCGGATGCTTTTCCTTTTCGGCCCTACCATATCTGCCTTGGAAGAGACCCTCAACAATCTCGCAGACGGAGTTTGCTTCGCGGGTCACTGCGGGCCGCCCGACCTCGCAGGCCGAGGGGCAGCTGCCAGGCAATCTTCAAGTCATGGTTTGGTGGCCAAGATTGCAGGATATGGAAATTTGATAGAATCTGCAACAGATCCCGTGTGTAATTACAGTTGAATCTTGATGCGGATGTTTGTCTCGAATTCGGGCGATGGCAAGATGCTGGGCGAGATGCTTCCCAAGAGAAAATCGTGAAGAGTCTTCCTTGCGAACCTGTGCAGGTTCTGCTGGATGTAGGAGTCTCAATGGTTTCACGCGGATTGGAGAGTATACTCGCCGATTGTGCTTGAATCGAGACTGGGTGGCCAAGTGTGATCCTCATATGGCATGATGTTAAATAGAAAAGCTGTTGACAGAAATCCTCAAGATCCCTCAGACATGTGGTAAACATGACTTCGGTGTTTTTAGGATGGGCATCATCGGTTGTGGATCACGTCCATGCGGCGAAGGTGAGCGGTCCCGATGATGCGGGCGAGGGAGAGCATAAAATCATGCTCCAGCTGGTGATGCGCCTCGAAGCGGCGGAACGGTGAAGAGAGGAATCGGGAACCGGTGAACCGGTGCCGGTGTCACAGAAGATCAATCTTGGTGTCACAAGAACATCACCAACCTGGACAATCCAACCATATCCAACCTATTGGAGTTCGACATCAAGTTTGATTGAACTATGGCCCGCTGTTTGGCAAGGTGGCACAGTCTATAGTCTATAGTCAAATCTCCTGAACTGACATTGAGACGTATGGATTTGCCCAGGGCTACTCAGGGACTTGGCTCAGAACCCAGAACTCTAAATGTTGGATGATGTTTGTGTCAGGTTCCTTTAGCTAGCTACTGGTACATGTTTGATCATGTTTGTAAGGCATAACGAATCTACTCTATGTATTTTTATGTTGTACAGCTGCTGGCTCACGTCTGTCCTCACCAGGAACGAATCCTTGAAAAGTGGCGAAGACGCAACTTGCCTTGCCGGTAGAGATTTCTTACGGGATTTGATTTTGTGTGACCCCCAAGTTGTTTCAGTTACTAGTAGGAATGGCCTCCAACCTACAGTACTAGCGATGGCCTCCAACCTACTGCTTCAGCTTTGATTTGGCAATTTGCTGTATGTTCCGGTTTGTCCATGTAGGCAAGCATTGACAAATATCGCAAAAGTAATCCAACATCTAGGTGTGTTCGCTGAGGCTGTGGCAGACTTCAGGGGAAGTTTCTAAGTGCAGAGACTCTTTGACAAGGCATGTCCATCTATTCACCACTGCACCCTTTGCTGCAAAAAACTGCGCTGACTTATCGTGGGGCAATGTTTCCTCATGCTTCTTCGGCTGATAGTGCTACCCATGCCTAATTACTGCGGCGAGAGGACTTTGGACGAAGTCAGGGGCTCTTCACCTCTCTGGTTTGGGGACTCTATTTATTGAATTAAACATTATGGTTTTCGCTGCTCCGTTTGAGGAAAAACACGTCATCGTTGGCACGGATTCCGATTTGCGCCTTGCTTGCCACATTAAAGGTACTATTTTGTTGTGCTATGATGTGCTGCATATATGAATATGAAAGTTATACATAATTACATCAGTCAGGACTTGAAGCGGTTTGCTTACACACGGTCGTAAGGTCCAAATAGTTGTTGCTTTTCAAATAGCAACTGACCACGAGTCATCATTGACATATGTGCCAATTTGTGCAAATTTTCACGTGCCGCATACCACTTGCATTCACGATTCACGCTCTCAGTGTTGGTTATTGTGGTCGTATGTTGACTGTTGATACATAAAGGAAACCGGATGGAGATGCTTGACCCGCCAGCTAGGTTTCTCTTGCTACAAAAATCCACCAAATATCAATAAAATCAACAGTAACAGTCAACTTCACGTGTCCGAGGCTCCTAGTGCCCTTGGCGCTGCTGCATGGTCCTCGAGCTGTTTGGGTTGCTCGCTGCGAAGAAGCTGTCACTACCGCGTCGGGGCAGCTGACCACGCTGCCCCCCGGACAACGTCAAGCTTTCGGTTCAGTGTTGGTCGGGGAAAGCACAGGGCCAACCATGGCCAACCTTCTTCATGTTGTTGTGGTTGCTCCCCATTGTAATATATTTATTAAATTTTGGACAGGTTGCAAGTCGCAAAATGAAATCAGCCCACTGTCCCACACGAATCATTTGAACATGGAGATGCTCAACGGATCGTTTCAGCCTCCATCACCACCATCCATGATTTTTTGGCTTGTGAGGTAGAGGACTAGTACGGAGAGCTCTTTGGAGTTTAATTTGGCAATGATTGGGTGCATGTCGCTTTGGAATCTCAGAAGTTCAGGTGCAACATTAGGAGCACTTGGTCAATGTCACCTTGGTTTGAGCGTCGAGCGTGTCCTCATTGGTTTTCGCCCACTTGGTCCCCACCTGCTAATGCCTGCCTTGATGGCCGCAAGTCAGGCGTGTTTGTCAGACGGAGCAGGTCGTTCAATCTCTCTTGAGGCGCAACCGTCGCACGAACCCATTGGAATTCCAGCATGAACAGACTCTCTCACACAGGTAGGACAGACATGGACTAGTCTTCTAACCAGTTATATCATTTGGTTCAGTTGAGTTTGAATGAACCCCATGAAAACCTCGAATGCTACAGAAGATAGTTTTTGCTTGGTTTGCCCGGGCCGGACTAGTTCAAATTGTTGCCGCAGACGCCGGACTTACGCCGGACTTGATTCATCCGTGGATCTCCTGGGCCGCGTTTGTCCTCCCCCCACGCCGAACAGGAGGCACATGGAGGTACTCTTATTTGCAGTTGGAGTGGCGTCTACCAGGTCTACCATTGCTATTAGGAGGCCATCGCTAGTAGGTTGGAGGCCATGGCTAATTAGTAATTTTAATTAGATTCTAATTAAATTCTAATAGCTTTTTGTTACTACTAGTAAGGTACTTGTTACTACTAGCGTGGCACTTGTTACTACTAGCTACTGGGACCTTGTTTGGCGTCCAGGTCTGATATGGCCGAAGACGTAGTACCGAATGGGGTGATGAGCCTGCTTTCCCAACATGCACTGAGCGCAGAACGGTCTGAGCGCAGGCAGTTCATCAACTTGGCCACCCCAACGGGCAGCCTGACACCAAAGGCTGGATGGGAGAGCAAAGGGTCTCAGGTGAAGTCATGTGCAACGGTTTGCCTATGGGCCGAGGGCCACTTGGTGTGTTTTGAGGATGGGTCTTATTTGGACAGGATGGCTTCGCAATGTGTTCTTCTCCAAAGTGCTTTGCAGGACGAACTTCACTTGCGCTTGGATTTTCTGCTGGTCACCTGCCTCCGTGGCAACGACTACCTCCCGCAGTTGGCGTTCCTTGCTGACCCAGTTGCGTTGGGTCGGGAAACCTCTCGCCCAATTCTTTGCTAAGGAGGGCACGGATGTGGATGGCATAGACGTGTTCTCAATCAGTGACTTCCATGTTTCAGGTGGCACTCCCCACGGACCCGTGGGAGGTCTTCACAATGTACAACGCCGATATGTTTGGAATCGTTTGGACAACATGGAGTGTGGAGGAGGTGGGGATACTGACGCTCCTGTGGATTGCTTCTATGAAGATTGATGACCCATCATTGTTTCATGTTGTTTAATGTTCATATAGTTTTCTTTTAATATAGAAGTGTATAGAAGCAATGAAGTGTTTTGTTTGTTCAAATGTCATGCACATGTTCTAATAGTTTCAATATCATGAACTCTTCATATATAGATTTATAATGATTCCCCCTTCTGACAAGCTCAGGAGTGACCATGACTCCTCCGAGTTGTGGCCGCGCTATCTCCGTTGGAGGCAGAGGTCGCAGCTTGGCCTAGCGCCCTGGCAAAAGAAAGCGGATGAAAGCTGTATCATGCAGCATCAAAGGATGATAAGGAAGGGGTAGAATGTGGTGATCTGCGGTCATTGAAGCACTCGGGTGCTGGCCTGGAGGTCCACAGATCCAGTTGCACTTGATCATTGAGGAGGATTGCAGAATTGGGCTGGAAGACTCATCAGAGGCATCATAGAAGGCCCCATGAAGAGTGTCAACAAATCGTCACAAAAGCTGAATTCCAATTGCTAGACAGAGTCGACCCCTCATGTACCTCATGTTGAGGTCGACTTGGAGCGAGCTGACGCAGATGAACAGATTTGCCCAGTGCGCAGCAGAAGACATGGGAAGGGGAGATTGGAGGCTGCGCATGCAGGGCGGACGACAGGAACACCATGCTACCTGCTACCTTGTTGATTTGTTGGGGGGTGCTCTTGGACATTCGAGACCTCATGTTCTATTGCAACTAGTAACAAGTGCACCGCTACTAGTAAGAATTGCATTACTACTAGTAACAAATAGCTACTAGCTAGTCTACTAGCTACTTGTATTTGTTGCTAGTAGTAATGCACGTGTTACTAGTAGTGATGCACTTGTTGCTTTGATGAACAAAGGAATAGTTTTTGGCTTTCTCCGAGCAAGGCATTGAGGAAACAAGACTTAAACAAGAGCACGATTAACCAGATTGGCAGCTAGCAGCTACTTCTGCCCCTTTGTGCTTTCAATGACGCCAACATCTCATTTACTCCGTACTATACCTCCTTGAGAGGGTTGGCGACCAGCCAACCAACTTTTTACGAGTCCTCGCCTCCAACCCTCAAACCAGGCAAAGCCGGATATTGACAAGGAGTGCAAATCTGGCTCAGGTGCCATTTCAATTTCCGTGTTCGAGTTGGCCCCTCATCAGTTCAAGCCACAGGGTTGACTAAATGAGGAAGCAGATAAGGAGTCGTTCTTTTAATACTACGGTATGTGTATATATACATATATATTATATATATGGTTATAAATCTTGTATCAATGACCAAGTGTTCTTCGATATGTTTTCATGGTCCAAGAGCCTCCACCTGTTTCCCAGCCCAAAAGCCCAGCGACTGAGTGACTTGGATCGTGTTGTGACCTTTCCAGAGGCCCAAGAGAGCCATTGGGTGAAAAAAGGGGTCGCGAGGTACTGATGGGGGTGCCCTTTGCAGCGACATGGCCTGGTTGTCATGAGTCGACGTGTTTCTGTTGATCCCCGATTTCACGCTGCAGGGTACGGGATAGGGCTGCATGCTCAGTTCGTCATGTTGTGGAGCATTTTTGATGTGAATCTAGTATGCCAGCATATGTTGCAGGAGATGTCGCATGTTGTTATTGAGTTAACCCAGATGCTACTATGTCAGATCTTATTAATGCTGGCCCGAGCTCAATGCAAGAGGGAAACAACCTCCACAATTTACAACTTGTCAGGCAGTGGATGTAGAGAAGCGGACATTTAATCTCTTTAGATCCTTAGAGATGGTTGCAGTTATATGAGAAGATCGATGGAGATAGCTTTACAATACAATTTCCCAGAGATTGTTCTGCTTGGAGCTGGCTTAGGCTTAGGATCTTTGGTGAAGGCTCGCCCACCTTGGCCCTGTTCCCCTCAGGACTTCTTGTCGCAGCAAGGAGGCGCCTGGAGCCCTCAGAAGGTCACGGGCTTGAGCGCCAAGGAAGGTGCTCAACAATACCTCGAGGCGGAAGGGAACCCTCCGGCAACAGCTACTTGCTGGGTACATGGCTAGCAAAGCCACTAGACTTGCAAGTGCTTGGTAGTGACATGTAGTGACTTAAGTTGCACTTATTAAGCTTGAGCTAGGTCCAACCTGAGCCCAAGCCAAATCCCAGCTAAGTTTTCTGACACTTTTTAGTTGTTCTGAATGGAATATGTGTCGAAAAGAACGTTTGTCATGGGTTTCCCTTACTCTAGTCTTAAGGGAGTATGGGTCAGAAATTGTCAGAACGCTGTTTGTCAGTTCTTCCTTTTCCTTTTGCTTTAGTCTCCATATGTGTATCACTGCCACAAAACCATTGACAATCTACCTAGGACTTGCTAAGTCGAGCCTAAGTCGAAGTTAACTTGCTTGAATTAGAGTAAGTTTGACTTGTCTAAGTCAGACCATGTCAGACCTAAACTTAAACACTTGCTGACCTCCACAGACTTAGCTAAGTCCAAGCTAAATCAAGCCTAACCTTTTGTAGAGGTTCAGAGACTTAAAACAAGGGTTACTGGTAGGTCAGCAGGCTTATAACTTAGGTCACAAGTCCAAGTTAGCAACCTACCCAGCAAGTAGGCTGATGAGATGAAGTGGTCTTCAGAGGGGTGTAGAATGTGGCCCTCGGGTTACCTAGTGTTGATAGATGACGTTGAACGTTCAGCCGGTTGATGATATACATATACATTATATAGTGTTATATATATATACTGTTTAGACGTGGTCAATGTTTCAGCTTTGACAATCAATGCTTTCGGCTGTGAGGCGCTGTTGTGGTGCTTGGACACCTATGTCACAGGCCGGCGACGGTCAAAAGGCCATCCAAATCATTTGAATAAGGCTGATTTGGATCGAAGGTTTCCTTGGTCATGTTGAAGAGCCGCTTTTCGCTGTCTAGGCCGGTGCCCCGACCTCCACCGCTGCTGGAGCAGCTCGCAGCTGGGGCATTTTGCCTTCGCAGCGTTGATCGCGCAGCAGATCCCCCTGCTGGAGCCGAGCTGTTTCAAGGCACCCAGCAGCTCATGGCTGATGAGTGTGGACGGGATGGAGCTGACATGCACAGAGAGTACACCGGATGGTGATCTCCTAAACCCCCCCCCACGAGTGAGGTCTAGAAGGTCCAGAAGGTCTGAGGTACCATTCATGATCTCCACCTCCCCTGAATAATTTGCTAAGGGAGTAGTTGTAGTCGTAGTAGTAGTAGTCGTCGTCGTCGTCGTCGGTGGTCGGTAGTCGGTGGTAGGTAGGTACGTAGGTAGAGGTAGGTAGGTAGAGGTAGAGGTCGGTAGGTAGGTAGGTAGGTAGGTAATTAGGTAATTTGGTAATTAAATTAGGTAATTAGGTAAATAGGTAATTAGGTAGGTAGGTAGGTAGGTCGTAGTAGTGGTAGTAGTGGTGGTAGTAGTAGTAGCAGCAGGACTAGTAGTAGCAGTCGTCGTCGTAGTAGTGGTGGTGGTGGTGGTGGTGGTAGTCGTGGTAGTGGTAGTGGTAGTGGTAGTGGTAGTCGTAGTCGGTCGTAGTAGTCGTAGTCGTCGTCGGAGGAGGAGTAGTAGTCGTGGTGGTGGTGGTGGTAGTGGTAGTAGTAGCAGCAATAGAAAAATTCGCCTGGTTGTGTGGGCTCGGATTAACTGGGGGTGGTTTCTGGTGCCCAACTAAGTGATTGAGGGGGAAATTAGCCACCAATACTACTCTTAATTAGGTCAATTTTTTAAGGCTTTGTGGGCTCGGATTGACTGGGGGAGGTCTATTACAGTAATCCTATGTTATGTTGGCATTACCTGGGAGATTGGTTTGTCCTAGTCCTAGGAGCAGTAGTAGTAGTACTAGTTGTTTCGGGAGAGCAAGGGCTCTGGATTGCAGTATTCCATCCCTCAAAACAATTCATATCATTCAATCCAAGGGTGCTTGTGGACCAACCCCTTGAAGACTTCTTTCGGGCAATGATTTGGACGAGCTTGACAAAGGATATTTCAAAGTTGTGTTCAGCTCAGAGTTCCAGGATTCAATCAAAACCTAAGAAGAGGCACGCAGTAGTGGTGGTCGTGGCGGTGACTGCAAGTGACCAACAAAAAACAAAACAGTGTCCTGGGAGAAACCATTTTCATCCTCCCACAGACAATTCTCGGGTTGGGAAGATGTGTGCGAACACATTTAAATTGCTGACCCACTTTACAAATCAAGATGCAACATCAGTCAACGAATGGGGTCAGTGCCCAAATCAGTGCTGGTCGTCCGCTTTGCCCCTCTAGGATGCTTGTGTGTTCCAGTTTCTGGCCTGCCAGATTGGAGGAACTTACGGGCACTTTGTGGAAGCTTGTTTGATGCTCTTGAAGTTCTACAGGGTTTTCTCCTTGTATAAGCCCACAGACAACTGACAAGAACTCCTGAAGACCACCTCAAGATAATACAAAAGACCTTACAGTGCTTGGTGTGTTCTTTCAGGTTCCGCATTTGGTCCATTTAACCTCGGGCAAGGAGGAGCCTCTTCTGTTCTGGGGTGGGAGTAGCCACGAGACGTTCGCGGCGGTTTCACTGCAGCGTTGTTCAGAGGCAGCGCGGAGGGACACTCCGCCACTCTCTCCTTTGGCATGTGCGCTGGCGGTGCTTCCGGTCACAGATGTGATCTTTAGCCGCATTAGCTGCTGCTTTGCACACTTGGTTGCCCAGCTTTGCTGCCAACCACGAGTCACATATATAAATTTAAACTATGTGCAAACAGAGCTTCGATACACATATACCAAGCTTGGAGGACAAGTGTTGATCCCATCCTGGAAAGCTTGAACCTACAGCGGCATCCGCAACCATCGATGTTGTTTGATATTAGCAAGGCCATTGCTCATTCGTTTTGTAAGACCGGAATTTGAATTTGTGACTTCATGAGCGACGACTTCTCCGCGTATGCATTAAAGGAGGCCACAAAATAGATCATAAGAGTACCATCCCTTTCAACTATTGTATGGAACATGCATGTTTGGAGACTAATGTGAGGCCCCCGAAAGACTCTCTCTCAATTCTCAAGGTTCCCCAAAGTTTGTTGGTGGAATGGTTTGGGGGCCGACGAGTTAATTGACTCCTGGAGCTATTGAACGGACAGATCGGTCTCCACCTCCAGGCGTCGTTGGCTGCTACCCCTCGAGCCCTGCTTGGCGCCGCTGCTGGAAACCTCGGGCCTTCTTGGCGAGGTGGGTGGTGGGGAACACAATGTGTATTAACCCCAGGGGGCGTTCTAGGTGGTGTAGGATCCTGGTTGGTGTAGCTGCTGCTCATGTTTTTATGGGGTGTTGTGTACTAATTAACAGTGTTTAAGACTATTCGGCTACCAGACCATGGTGGGAAAGGACTCACAGCCCGAAATATGTTTTATCCTAGTGGTTCAAGATTGGTTCCTTCAACGGCAGGTGTGCTTTTGTTGCATGGGCGCACAAAGCCTCGACGATGTGGTGGAAGATGGTGTTGGACCTGCACTGCAAATAGCTGATGCTACACAAATGGTCCAAGTGGACTTCCCTTTGACGACTTCCCCGGTACAGTGTGTAACATAATGATCATTTTCGCAACATGGACTGGACAGACGATTGTGGGGGTAAGGCTATGCCCACATGGACATGTCTAAACAGAGCATCCTGTTGTTGATGGGTGTGCGTACCCAGATGATTATAGATTATACACATGTTGCCGTTTTTGCATTTTGGTTGACTTATATGCACACATGAATGAACAGAAGCCGGGCAGGGATCAGGACATTGTCAAAATATTCAATTGAGCCCTGCAAGTCTATCATCTCATTTTGCGGGATTCCAGGCTGCGGAACACGTTGCAGCATTTGCGTATACTACGCCACAAACCCTCACGCTAAAGATGGGCAAGAATATGGCAAAGCCTCTTTGCGCTTATCCTCTCCTCGCTTTATCCAAAAGGCCCCCCCAAAAAAATAGAAACCGGAAAACCCGATACTCTTGGGATCTGACGGATTGACGACACAGGTGGCACGTTTGGAAGCTTGCGGCGACTGCTCACGCTTGAGCTTGCTGGTGGCCAATGGCCCTTCGAACGGGAAGAAAGCGGAGAAGAATCGGAGAGCGCTGGAGGATGGGCTTTGTGTTGGTGGGGAGTAGACAGCAAAGGTATCGCTACTAGGAGCAAAGGGCATCGCTACTAGGGGCTTAGAAACAACAAATAAATAGAACTAGAATTAACATCTACTTTAGACTATGCAATGTATATCAATGTATATATATGAATCATACGACAAGTGATAATGTAAATTCTACATGCAGGTGGCAAGATGCTGGATAGGAGCCGTGGTAGGTCAAAAAACGTCCAACAGTGTTTTGGGAACTGGGACCCCAAGAGCAGCTGAATGCAACATAAAGCAACCACAGCATTTCAGTCACAAGGGTACATTGTGGCAAGGGTACATTGTTGTGACGACAATTGATGTCATAAGCTTGAGAATGGTATTCAAGATTCACATTTAAAAAAAGTTTGTGATCCCAAATGTTTGAAAAGATCTATCCGACTGAACTTCGCGCCAGGTGCATCGAAGGGAGCATCGCGACATCGATGCTGAGCCATGGTTGCAGGAGGATCCACGAGCGGTCATGAAATTTTGCTTGCGCGAGCTTGAGGCACGAGGCTCGCCCATCAAGATTTACGCCAAGTAATTTTGCTTGTTGTACGACCCCGGTGCCCATGTGACGATCGTTGAGGGCAAGGTGGCGGGGACCTTCAGAGATGGAGAACACCCCAAATGGGTGCACACCCCAATAGTTGTTTTCTCCACGCCCTACCACCTTCCTGGATTTACCATTAGAGTGTGAAAACCACTTTTGCGCCGTGATTTGGACCGTGGATTCCAGTTCTGAGACTTCCCAAGGCTCGGGAGTTGATCGCAAATAGCTTATGGGAGAGGCTCAGTCCAGTTGAGGTTTCATTGGAAGATCTGAACGAAGAAGTGCAGCGCTTGCGAAGAAGTGCCGCGTGTCCCGGAGGTGATTAAACAGGACTCTTCGGAGGCGGAGATGTTTTAATTCAGATTGAGGGCATCGCTATTAGGTTGGAGGCCATCACGTATGGTCAATGTTCCATGAAGTCGTCCCCAAAAAGGGGCCAGTGTTTAATCTTTGTCAATGTATTCACGGTTCTTTGAGTCCACCCATATGTGGACGAAACTCGCTTGTTGTTGTTAACCTTTGAAAATGACATGGATGGTGCTGAGAAGAAATTTAAGGTCACTTCCTGGTAATTTCAAGCATGGTACCGGCAGGATAGATGTGGTAGTACCCGTCCCAGATTTGCAAGGATAAACATAGACTTGGATTTCATCACCAGAGGCTCGGCTTGGTTCTTGAGAATATGGTGCAGCATGGTGCAGCAACGTTGAAAATTGTCGAAGTTGCGAACCTTTTTGGATTCAGGAGCCCCAGTGGTCTCTTGGAATTTTTGGTTCTTCACATCTATAATCTATATAAAGAGGTTGCATTTGGGAGTCTTGGGGTAGGTGGCCCCTCAGTTGGGGCGCTTTGGACACTGCCAGGCCACCGGTGCAGCCGATGGAAGTTGAGGCGAAGCCCAAGAGGCCATGGCCTTGGCGTTTGGAGACTGCAGTGACGGCAGGAAGTTTGGATATGGACAATTCAGATGAGTTTGTTGGGATGTTAGACATTTGGAGAAGCATTGAAGGCCGAAGGCCAGCTCCGCAGAAAAGCCTTCAAAGAGTCCTCTCTCACGTCTTGGATATGTGGATCCATTGAAACGCACGAAAGAACTGAACACCGCAACACCGACATTCTGCCCACTCCACGTATTGCAGTTGCCGTCCGCATCGTCATCCCTCCAGGGTCAAGCGACGGCGGCGGTGAGCCTCGGATCCCCCTTGGAGGCCAAGCGGGGAGACCCTTCAGCGGTTGCCATGGGGTCATTGCACTGGATGGAGATGGAGTGAGGAGATCCCCCCCTCCTAGAATGCAATTGTTGAATCTATTTGATCCTTGTTGATCCATTTGGACGGTCCATTCTACCTGAGTTTGGCGTGCTGTTGAAGTGATTGGGGATCATTTTCCGCACTTGGGCCGAACATCCCCCCGAGCGTTTCTGCCGCATTTAGTTAACGATAACTTTATGTTAAGATATTAAGATTTGCGGATACATATTTTGCCCAAGTGCAATGAGCTGTGGCTGATTTTTTCATAAAGCAACAACCAAATTCAAGTGATGGTAAAGGTGGCTTATTTTGGCAGAACCTTAGCCCATGAAAGTTGCCGTCGCGGTTGTTGAACCTAAGTCTTCTTTGTTCTTATTCAAAAAGCCGCCCAAATGGATGGCTTCTCGCGTTTTCTCCACACTGTCCCAAGGCAGTCTTCGCAATTGCTGCGCCGACAAGTGGAGCAGCGAAAAAGCGGCGGTTCATGCAGCAATCCAGGAGCATGAAAAGTTTGACCTATATTACTCAAAGCTGACTGTGATGTGCCAGACTATATAGTTGCGCACACTTTGTCAGATTCATTTGACCCACACCTTGCCACTTCATACTTACTGATGATATCATCATCATCATCATCATCATCATCATCATCATCATCATCATCATCATCATCATCA